CGGTTGCCCAAGCAGGTCTTCGATTGGGTTCCTCCCGGAAGGCGACGGCGTGGACGTCCTGTGAAAGGTTGGCGACAAGGGGTGGAGGAGGAGATCAGAAGGTGCCAATTGCCTGATGATCTCTGGGAGGATAGGGGGCAATGGCGATTGGGCGTCGCAGAGCGCGAGGCGGCGCTATAATCGCGACTTTATGTATGTAATTAACTGGTGCTCCAACGGCGAGAGACTGAGAATTTGTTTCCTTATAATTACTTACGCGCTCCTATACACTTTCGGTGGTAGGGGATTTTGGCCCACGAAGGATTTTGATAACTTTTTATTGCCCGTAAAATTCAAATAAAATTAGTTGAAGCTACCTGAACTTAGAGTCTGCAACAATTTGGAACGGTTAATGTTAAAACTATTTCACATGTTTGCCGATTGGCACCAAAATTCATCGAATATTTCCTTTTGCGTAAAGAAGAAAAACTGATTTCGATTTTCACCATAATCCTTCACTATACGGCAAATTTCAAAGAAAAAGGGGGTGGGGGTCGTGATATCGGCAAAAATCTGCTCAAAACCAAAGCGTTGTCCAATGACACCACAGAAAATCATGTTTGAACGCCAACGATCACGGGAATACGAGGAAAAGTCTGAAGTTGACTCAAAAATTAATTGGCAGTCGGTCAACTTTTTCTGAAAAGCTCAACGCTGTCGCTTTAATTGCAATGATCCATTTTTCTTAGATCTTTGCGATTTGTTGTAAATAATCCAGGATAGAATTCCTCGTAAGAAGGTTTTAATCCCTGATACAATAGTGATGATACAGCTTATACTGCTTTGCAAAGATGCAAATGACAGTAAGGGACCAAAATGAATAATAAGACCAAAGCCTTTCATATTTGAATAAAGAGCATCACATGATATACGTCTGTTCTGGGCAATACATCGATGAGAAGAGGCAGGAGCAATTTGATTTCACGGAAACTGTTAATGGTCGTTTACTCCTTCATTTTTCTCACAGTATCTTGTAAAAAATGATTTATCTTCAGCACGAGGGACATACCAAAGCTAAGAGTCCTAGGAGCAAGGAAAGGAAAAATGGGATAAAAAATGATAATGCTGTCTTGATCCAATTGCCATTGGACCGTTCTTTTCGATTTGAAGCCATCTGTTTTTGATTTACTTAGATAATTGCTCATTATATTTCACGGTATCCTTATACGTGCGTTATTGAGACTGAAATATGTAAATTTCCACGGAAGGAGCGAGTTCCTATCCAATCATTGGAAAAAAAGAGAGCACGAGGGATCCCTTATGTGAATGAATAAACGGACAGGAAAATGAAGGATCACGTGACTACAAAAAAACCACAATAATCCGCGAAACTTCCACCCGTTTCGTCTGTACCGTCCATTTTGTTTCTCTACGCTCTACTTAATTCCAACCTGTTCTGTTCTATTTTAGTTCCAATCATTTCCATCTCATTGCGTTGCTTTCCATCGCTTTTATAATTCCATTTTGTTCCAAGAGTTTCGTTGACCATTGAAAAACCCTCAATATCTCACATGACTGGCAAATAAAAAAGTCAGGAATATCCCCACTTATGAAATGGAAGAGTTATTGCGGTAAAAAACTTGCCAAGAAGTTTATAAATTGTTTAAACATATTCGGCTGAAAAAAGCATTCATATTTGTCACGAGTAGATATTCAAAAGAAGGTAAGGGCAATCAAATGTTGCTAACATTGGGTGAATGTTCTTCTTATTTAATGGGAATCCAGTGGCCTAGAATGCTTATTTTTATCATGAAAATAAAATTTCAAGGAAATTGTCCCCAAAAATTCAACGAAACACAGAAATTTGAGCTCCTTTATGCAGTGAGGAACAACATACTTAAAGAACAACACCTAATGGCGTTTATTAGGTTTTGAATTTCGACTCTTCATTATATGTTTACACTCGACCAGTCAAACAAAGCACGTTTAAATAGTACTTCTAATTGAGGGGAAACGAATTCCACGTATTTTATCAGTCGAGTATATCGGTGAAACTCCTCGAAACGTATCAGCTTCAACGTATAAACTAGAAATTTACGTCCGAACAAATCACCTGATTTAACGATTCGGGCTAAATCTAGTGACCCCATCCAAGGAGTTGCGACGGGCAGCTCGCACAAGAGGTTCCACGCTTGATTTGTCGAGGTCATAAATTAATCAAGTGCAGCACCACCAAGACCGAAACACTGGGTTCCCCGTTGAACAAGGGAAAATGAACGGACTTAACCGAACGAGGAATTTTTACAATTTTCACGCGGCGCAAGCTATCGCGACCCAGATTGCCTTGTAAAGTATGTTGACAGGCTAAGAATGCCTTTTCGTCATAAATGTAACTTTCCATAAGAGGCAATGTAGAATTTAAATCGCGGCATTATGAGGCCTTGCGCTAGCGACACCATGTTTTTATGCCGAAGAGAGTTCACCTCCCAACCGCTCATGCAACTTATTTATATACCTGGAACTACCTCGGAAGAAGTAGAGGCAGTTGGATTTTTTGTTCGGAAACTTTGCTTTTGGCCAGCGAGAA